CTTTATTCCTTGCAAAAGGAAACTTACGTAATAAAATGTAATTTTCGTTGAAACGTGATAATTGGTGACCACCTACTCTCAATAAAGAATCTAGACTGTTACAATAATTATACAGACAAAGTGCACACTTTACTGTTTGCAATCAACCGATGACGTCACTATGAAATATTTTTCCTTGTTCACTGTTTCCGTATTCAAATTTTTAAGCCGTTTACAGACATTCAGTTACAAATACAGTCTTAACTGGATAGTCGGATTGTTAATTCAAAACGTATACTTGTGTAGGCGTGTTGTTCCTTAACATTTTAAACTGAAGGTGTGTAGCTGTCTTTATTAATATCATAGTTATGATAATATCTGCATTATTTGTCTCTTTAAAAAGAATTCGAATGCTAAAAATTAGTAATCTAAAAATCAGGAATTATTAGCTAATATTCGAGTTTAGTACATAAACGAATGTAATGAACACAATACTTCGTTGGTTTGAGGTAGCATTTTGACGAACTGTTGTTTATATAACGTTTGGTAAGTAAATAACATAGTCAAATGCCAAAGAATGTACTTCTGCTGTGGACATGTACGCAACATCGCATTTTATGGTAAACACACTTTCGTTTTTTTTTTATTTAAGTACCGAGACACAATATTTATGCTTAAAATGAATGTTTAACAATCCACATTTATTCAATAGAACATCGATTAAATCATATTTCTTATAGTGAATTCATTTAACTTTTTTAAGAAACCGTAAGAGATGCGATAACAGTCAAACGTAACAAAGAAAAATTCTGAATAATTAGTAACAATCAAGTTGATATCGAACAATCGTGAAATTGCCAGTAATGCTACAATTTGTAAACAGTGGGCCGGTATGTTTATGACCGCTCTTCGGGCCTATTGTAGCGAGTTTCATGCTTTCGATTATATAATTGCATGTTCTATGAAACCGGCCAAACAAACCGCTAATGTTACTTAATTGTTTTCCGAACACTTTTTACCTTCAATTGCATATTAGGATTTTTTCATTAATTTGCTTACTTATTTTTTTTTATCATTAAAATTCAAAAAAAGGGTCTTGACAGACGGACAATGAAGTTACCTATAAGGGTTCCGTTTTTTTCCTACGAGGTACGGAACCCTAAAAACAACTGCTACCTAATTTACCCTATATATTCAATGCTCTGCAATGTAAACTACATAGATCGTGGGTCTGTCCAGTCCTTCAGAAAGTTAAAAAAAAATGTTATAAGCAATACACAATCAGACAATCACTGCATAAGTAATCCTATTTACAATATAAAGTACGTAGTTAAAATTTAATCTAATTGCATATAAAATCAAAAAACTACAATGTTATTTCTTATTATATTTTCAAAACCAATACTGAATATTTCTACTAATTATAAAGAAAACATTACATCTGAAAATAACAGATTATCTTATCTTTATGTTGAAACAATTAATTTTTCAAGCGAAGTAAAGGATAGTTTTAGTCGGATTTTCCGGATTTAGCTATGTTAAAAAGGGGACACGAATACCTACTGTAACTTTAAAAAGCATTAAAATACAAATATACGATTTATTGAATAAATAAATTGTGTAAAAATAAATATGACTTTATGAACTGGATTTTATTTTATTTTTATTTATTTTATAAAGATATCTTTCGTGTTCCATAAAATAATATAGAATGAAGAACACTTTATAGGATTTAATATAAAACTTCTAGGCATAAAAAGCTGAGTCATATGTTTTCTAAGCCCTTTATTCTTTACCTGAATAACAAGACCCTTCTCAACTGTTTTTCTTACAAATTCAGTAAGTTTTTCATCAATTTTCTCTATTTATTTGACATAAAAATCAGAAAGTGATAATTGGAATGATATACAATAGCTTTTAGAAAAACTGCAAAAAGAGATTTTTGTTGATATCACATAATTTCAAGTCTGTACATCTTGTGGACGGCAGAGACTATAAAAAATGCTAATAATATCTATCGATTAAAAAACTATAACCTAATTTAATTCGGTTTTTCTCAATTGAAATTACCTCCATACCCTCGAAGGTACACGTCAGAAGACACCGATCAAAAACAAATAATATTAGAAACAATAATTTTTTCTACTAAAAGTATAAAAAAATGTTTGTAAAAACTTTTGACAGCCAATATCATAGTATTGTAAAATAGAGTCGTAAGCCGGGGCGAGCAACAGGTGAGATTCAACCGTAAAGAGATATCAAAATAGATTAAAAATCTATCTCTAGACTTCAAACAAAATATCACAGGTAATAATTTAAAGTACATATCGTGTTTTTAAAATTCTATTGGAATAAAAATATGATTAATTTTCAGAATTAATTCCAAAATCCTCATAACACATAAGACCATAAAGTCTTATTTTGTTTTGTAAACAACAATAGTTTTTAACTCGTCGACACTTATACAACTATCATTCTCAAAACTCAAGTAACAAGAAATTAAAATTACAAATATACTATAGTTTTTAAGAAATTATACATTTAAATTTTCGTACACAGGTACTTAGTTAGTAAACACTTAAATTCGCGCCAATTCAAAATATTTATAGAAATTCACACGAAAATGGAAAGATTAAACAGCCACTGCACTAATCTTAAAAAATATAAACAATCTACGTCCAAGTAAGTAAACATACTAACCTGCGAATAGATGAACACCGGTAAAACGATCTTTCGTAATGTTCAAAAACAAAATGTCAACGTGAAATTACAATAATCGAAATAAAAAAACAGCATAGACAATAACTGGCAGGTGATAACTATTAAATTTCTTTTTCACTTTCACTATCTTTTTAATTTTGTTACAGTTTCAGAAAAAAGTTTTGACGGGCTATCGTGAATAAGTACGCGATCAAAGTAACGAAACACGCGCGGTCCGTGCAGCCTCGCATTTATTACTGAGGCCGCGAAAGCAAACTGCTAGAAGCGAAGTCCGTTCTAAGTTGAACTACGATATTATTCAGCGAACGAGGTCCGCATGGCATGGATGACGCGTATTATTCTCCTACTACAGGATGCCAATACTTCCAAAGGCAATTACCTTAATACTATATGACCCAGATATAAATAATTACAAAGCGAGACCTCTAAATTTTCTAAATAAAGGTGACTTTTGTTAAAAAAAACTTTAAACAATTAAACTCTTTAACATTGGCCGAAAGAGCAACCGATGGCGCAGTGATTAAGAAGCATCGGACTTGTTATCTACACATCCGGGTTCGAATCCCGCTATGTAAACTATTATCTTATTTGATTATTTGTTTTTTGGAAACTGCATAGATGTGAAGTAATAATCGACTAAGACCCAGTGACCGAGAATTTTGGGTATGCTTGAGCCCCTCGGTGGGGAGGTGTAACAAAGAATGTATATTGCTATTAAATAAATTAATAAATATAGAGATATCGTACACGCGTGAAAGGTGTACGTTGCAAGTCATCAAAGACCATAAGTGATTTTTCATTTTGATGATTTTTCATATTTCTTTGGAAATACAACTTAAATAATTCGATACAAGACAAACAACATTTGATAAAAACAAATTTAGTAAATAGTACCGTAGCATATTCACAGTTCGTAGAAAGTCTACGACAAGCGCTACAGTAATTTTTCTTTTGCCCACAGTCGCGTCTTATGCGAACCAAAAAGAAGTTAGCAGTTCTCTACCAACCGTACGCTTTAAGTACTGTTGTTCCACTTGACTGAAAGGTGTAAAATTCACGTTGAATTATAAAGTTTAATAAAATAACACTATACGTACTTATTAGACGAATCGACAGTTTTTATATTTGTTCTAAACCATTGGACATATCTTTATGAAATTTTAAAAGAAAGTTCTGAGGACTACGTAACTTACAACATAATATATAATAGCTAATGTTTAGATATATGGATAAATGGATAGATGGATGTTACTTGGAAGGTATGTGAAGAACGGCTTAACGAATCTCGGTGCAATTTGACATATATTATGTAGAACACAATCTGGAAGAACACAGGCTACTATTTTTTTTGATTCCGTGAGCACGAAGGTGCGGGCAACAGCTTTTAATTACTACATTTACGGCACTCAAATCTAATTCCATTAGATAATGTGGCATATTCGCAACATAAGATCATTAGTAAATTCTTTTGTGATATAGACAATAACATCTTTTACAAAATGCGTCATATTCAAAGTTTTCGTCCACGACGTCAGCATTGAGCGATTTTAATTTTAATATTTATTTTAATTAGACGTCTAGAAGCTCTACATTTAACACTGCTAATCACCATTTTAGTAGTAGTAATAAGCAATAGAGTTAACTTTCTGATGATTCAGGCTCATGTTATGAAATACAGAAAAAGAGTCTATAACGAAAGATGTTGTAGCAAAAGTGTTTACCGAAATCTGAACTAGAGACATCGTGTTGACCAGGATTGTTGGAATGAGTATCAACTTATTGATAGCCTTGTAAGAGTTTATTAACTTAACTTCGGTCTGTCAATACATTTGTAATTTCATGCCAAAAAAAACATTTATACAAAATCAGTGGCAAAGGGTTAACTAGTTCGTTTTATATTTCAATTGAAATTAATGAACAATTCTTATACCATATTTTATGAATTCGTTTATTCCTAAAATTCCGTAAAAATAGACCTGTACTTTGCAAAAAAGTTTTATATTTGATCTATGATTAATTGCTGTTGCAAACATGAAGCATGAACGTAACGCAATTTAGTTTTATTATGTTGTTAACACTGAAATATGTTAAACATTTTCGTACATTAACTAAAATTAAACTTTTATCTATTACAAAATCAAAGATTAAGAAATTTAACAATCATAATTTTAAAAGATAGTAAGCACGAAGTAATTTTATTTAATTTTATCGTAAAACTGATGTAAATAATTATTGAAAGTTGTTTCATTGATTCCGAGAACCTTAATGTTGGCACCACTGTAATCGTGACAAAACTTTCGTTCGCTTCGTCCATGGTGAATAAGTGTTTATGATATTGTACAAAACTTGGAAATTATTATGTGTAAATTGTTAAATAGTGCATTTTAGTGATTTTCTCTAGATTACTTTAAGTACTGCTTTCTTTTTATATTCTTATTCTAACAAATATAGTGCTAAATGATGAGATGAAAAAATGTTATTGTGTGCTAAGTTTTATAATGGCGGCCCGTCGCGTCCCCCGCGCCTCCATTTCGTTGACAGTCAGATATGACAATGCCGAGACGTAGAAATGTTAAAGTTGTTATGTTTTTGTAAATAACCTAAAGTTGGGCAGAGATATTAAAATAGCATAATCCTAAATATGAATACAGAACATCACAGTATCAATACGGGTGGTGGCCAACCTCCTGGTAACTCCGAGGTACTTAGAATTTTTAAGTTATAATCTTTATTACTCCTTGTCCAAAATGTATTAAAACATAAAATATTTGCAGTCTCAAAATCAAAGAGTATCATCTTCCCAGCAACAACAACAATCAAGTAATAATCTGCCTCCCACTACTTCTGCTACCGACCTACGAGTTAATTCGGCAGCTGTTAACGTTGCTTTGTCCAGTGTCGCTAAGTATTGGGTGTTTACAAATCTTTTTCCCGGGCCAATACCTCAAGTTTCTGTGTATGGCCTGCCACCTAATGCAAGGCTTGAAAACGGAAAACCTGTGCAGGTAATTATAGATATTACTCATTATTAATGTAAATAAGTTGCAAAAGGTCAAAATTTGAATAAGCATTTTTAACTAAGTGATATTTATGGGAAAATATATACTAAAAAAATAAAGTGGATTTTACCACTCTTTGAATCAATTTGGATGTGGATGGATCAAACTAGCCAAACATTTACAATGAAATTCATTTTACTGCAATACTAAACAAATACTTAAAGATTACCTAATACTCTAGTTACAAGAAATCTATTTTTTTTCTTTTGCTGGATGCAATAATTGTTTTTTAATATTGTTTTATGTTCATTGTTATAGGAATTGAGCCAAGCTCATGCCGGACTGCTGAATGGTGATCCTAACCTTATTCTCGGTCAGCACAGTGGGCAACCGCAGCTATCTGTATCAGGACCTAGTGGCCAACAAATACCTGTCACTCAAATTATCGCAACACAATTACAATCTGGACAGACGCATGGTAAGTTATCATACAATTTAATTTTGCTGAGCATATTTCTGTTGTAATTATTTATGGCCATTCAATTGAAACCAAAGTTTAATGTTCTTGTTCAATAATTTATAATAACATTGTGGTTTACTAATATTTTAGCATTAAATAGTTTTCTTAATTCACTATACTCAATAATATGATAGTCCAGAGTGATATACCAAAAGATATTAATATTGTTACATACATGTATGTCAAGTTTAACTTAAATTGATTATTCACAATACAGATTTTAATGCTTACAGCATATTTAACATTAAATTAAATAACAAAATCAGTAAAAGAAACTAGTGTAATGTATAGCTTTGCATGACTTTATTTCTATTTCTAGAATCATTGGGGGCGCACAGTCAGCAACAAGATCACAATACTCAGCAGAACTCTGGGAACACAAGCCAAGGCTCGGTTAGCACAAGCCAGCCCTCTCACCAGCAGGTACCCAATAATCGGGTCGACTTTATACAACACCATAACACTGATATGGTAAATCATGTGGTAACCCATACCCTTTACTGCAGGAATGCTAACAATTTGTTGCTATGTAGACAATAGTAATAGAAATATGTAATCTCGGAATTGCATGTTTATGGATGTAAAGAAAAATTGTTTAAAAAAAATAAAGCCATGTTATGCATGAAACCCTAAATGTTCTATATCTTAATAAAATGTTCAAATTGTCAGTAATTTATGTGACCTTCCACCTTAGAACAAATTGTAATTATTTTTTTTTTTGCATTGTTAAAGTAGTTGGAAGTATAATTCTGAAGGCCTTGAATTAACATGTGTGTAGTTTAATTTGGCAAATTGTGTTCATAAAACTTGAGTATTATCTTTGTGTTAAATATTCCCCTAAACTAAATACTTAATCTTTTCTGTTTATTAAAATATAGCTCTGCATGTTAAAAGAAATTAGTTTGTTACTTTTTTTATTAATGCAAAGTTATTTGATTAATAAGCTTAAAATATATGTGTATTGTTATCCACATAATAACTTTCTTTATAGTTTTTTTAACAATAAATAATGTATTGTCCAGGGCCATCATTCCCAACAACATACAATGCAACAACAACAGCTCATGGCAACCAATCGTGACCACGCAAATCAACAGGTAAAATACATTTCTATATATTACATTAGGTAGACCTATAATTATTAAATAATAAAGATGCTAAGATAGCTTCAATACAATGTTGTATATTTAAATAGCATTTTAAAAGCTTTCTACTACCAACTTTTGTTAATTACGGGTGAAAAGAGAAATAAATATTTGTTTGATGTTAATATAATTATTTATTCATGGAATACATATGAATGAATGTTTCGAATATCTACGACCTTTATGTTTTTGTGTTTATCTTGCCTGTTTCTCAAACTCTAGGTTTCAATTACTGAAGAACCAAGGTCATAAAATATTAGCTTTGATTTTTTCATTATGTACCTTATTATCTGAAATGCGGCAATGCTATATACTTATATATGATTGTATGATACAACAAATACTTCATGTTTAAAATAATACTTTTATTCGTTTTATGCTGCTTGTATTATGATAATTAGCCAGTTAGCGAGGTGAGTTTGCTTAGAAATAATTACATAGATGTACATATTGTACAGGGATTTTAACCATGATGCTTTTTATTGGTAATTTCATAAGCTTTTTGTCAAATTCTTGTAAAAAAGATCACTGTTTTAATATAGTACAAAAAGAATTATCTGTTTTTTCAAGATGATATGTTATAAAATGTATAACAAATATTTAGTTGTTTTTGATAGTGGAAACTCATTGAAATACTTTCATTGCAAATTGTTGAAACTTTCTTTTCTTGTAGAAATTAATTTCATTAACAAATTGCTCCTTTTAAAAACTTTATGGATGAATAAATATGATAGAGATTATTAAAATTCTTCACCACCAAAGAGCTACAAGTTAGTGTAGGCGCTAGACAATATGTAAATCTATAAAAATGTTAACAGATACAGCTAACAGTAAGCGAAGATGGCATTGTGACTGTGGTGGAGCCGGGCGGAGGCAAAGTTGTGGACAAAGAGGAGATGCATGACGCTATCAAAATGCCCACAGACCACACACTGACAGTTCATCAGCTACAGCAGATTGTCGGACATCATCAGGTACTGTTTATATTTTAATTTTATTGACTTAAATTAGCATATACAATGTAATTAAATTCGCCCGAGTAGACAATTAACACATTTATTCAGCATGTTTCAAGTGTTTAAAGCATAGATTACTTTCTCATATAAGAATTATCTATTAGTCAAAGTGTTTATATTTGTGTCATACCATCCATTGGATGGCAACAAAATTGTACAGAGGCAGAAAAAACTTATCTCTTTGTTGAAATAAATATAGGTAAAGAGTCTACAATTAATTCTATTATTGTGGATATATAAAGGCATACTTTATGTTAGATAAGGCTTGCTCATTTGCCTCCTTCAAGAAAAATATTCATATACATATTGTCTTGTGTCTTATTATTTTCCTTATACTTATATTTTGTTAGATACATTTTTTTCCTGCTCATAAGTTTACAAGGTCAGAGTATATTGATATTAAAGTGGCAACAAGAACATTCTATTAATTCCTGGCATATTTGATACCAGGTGATAGACAGTGTTGTTCGTATAGAACAAGCCACAGGCGAACCCGCTAATATACTCGTGACTCAAAACCCTGATGGGACCACATCTATAGAGACCAGTGCATCTGAACAGCTTATAGTCAAAGACGAGAAAAACGTTGCGAAAATTGAATCCACACAATTTGCAATACCCGCAGATATTAAGGACATCAAAGGACTTGATTTAAAGGTAAACATACTTTCACTCTGACAATCAGGACAAAAATATATTCTCATGTTAGTTTTTTAGTACACGTAATAAAATTCCAAAATTATTTAACAAATTTATTCAGAATTTGGTCTTCACTAATTTACACATTTACAGTACAACTTAGATGAGGGCTTCAGAAATCCAATCTCTTAAAATGATAAATTTTGATGACAAAACAATCGTATTTCAGAGTGTGGGATCAATGGGTATGGAAGGAGCGGTTGTGAAAATATCAGCGGGCGCCTCAGAACACGACTTGCATGCAATGTATAAAGTTAATGTTGAGGATCTCTCACATTTGTTGGCTTACCATGAAGTTTTTGGTAAACTCAATCCCGAGGGCCAACCACAACCCAAGGTAAAGATATATTTTGAAAAATATATTTAGACAAGAAGGAGACAAATGAGCATACAGGGTAATGTTGAATGACTTCTAATCATAAATAACATGTTCAAATGTGTTGCTAGCTTACATTCAAAGGTTACACTAAAAAAAAAATATTAAATGTATCATATTGGTGCTCTTAAGTGGCCAACTGTTGTGTAAATTGGATGTAATTTTGTACTCCAATTATAATTATCCAGCCAGTTTATGCAACAGCACCACAATTATGTACTTCTATAGCCTAAAATAGTTTAATTGTAAATATGTACCATCACAATTAAGATGTATTTAATATAAATATTAAGTAATGTTTGTAACCCTAGTCGTCAATCTTACAGCCTATAAACGAAGTAGACGAAGCGGGAACTAGCGCTGCCATAGCCGAATCTGATACATCTCCCGGACACCATTCCTGTGACATCTGTGGCAAGATATTCCAGTTCCGATACCAACTTATTGTTCACAGGTAAGCCAATATTAGTGAAATAGAATAAATACATTTGTAAATTATATTTTAGAAACAAAGTTGTAAGAAATCAGTTATTTCACTATAGTACAATTGTTTCGGAAATTTAATTTTGAAACTAATATGAATAGCTAATGTATGAATTGAACTCACTCTTCATACAGGTTTACCTAAAAATGTTTTGTTGTACAGACGATACCACGGCGAGAGCAAACCTTACACATGTCAAGTTTGCGGCACTGCATTTGCTAATGCCATGGAACTTTCCAGACACGGGAAATGTCATCTTGGTAATAATCTTTGATTTTTCCTCTCAATAACAAACACACCAGGGTTATCTTTGTTTATATGTCAAGTCAAAATTAAAACTTTAAATTATCGTGTATGTTGTATCAGCTGGGGATCCTGCAGAGAGACAAACCAAACGGCTGACCCAAGACAAGCCGTACGCCTGCACTACTTGCCACAAAGCGTTCTCACGAAAAGAGCATTTGGACAATCATGTACGAAGCCACACCGGAGAAACACCTTACAGGTACTAAATGACATAATTTAAATACAATTAAGTTATAAATTATAATGCTACATTAGCCATTTAATTACAGAAAGAAATGTAGCGGATTAATATTCTCTTTGTTGTTAGATGTCAGTTCTGTGCGAAGACTTTCACTCGCAAGGAGCATATGGTGAACCACGTGCGCAAGCACACCGGGGAGACGCCGCATCGCTGTGACATCTGCAAGAAGAGTTTCACCCGCAAGGAACACTTCATGAACCACGTCATGTGGCATACAGGTGATGACACTGACATCTTGTGTTATTATACACAGAAAGTACTCACATATGGCTTTTCGCGTTAAGCCAATTGGATCAATGCTATTGCATTTTCTATTGGACGAATTGATCGGTAGAACGATGGACCGAATGGGAAACACCCCATATAACACCCTAGATTAGTTGTCTGCAACATTTTTGCCTGTCAATATTAACATAAACCATAGGTTGGGGCCCATGCACTAGTTGCTTTGATGCGCGCTGTGTTGTGAGTTAAATCTATGAAAACGAAGAAAATATTTCTCTCGGAAAATATACTTCCCCTTCCCATTCCTTATAAGATAAGTATATAACGGTTGGTTGTATAATAAAATTGGCCATAAAGGCTAGAATCAAGGGATTCAGATGGTTCTTAAAAAATACCCAGTGCATGTTCCCTCATAGAAGAAGAGTGATGACAGCTTTTAAAATGTTATATTGTAAAGTTGATTAAACACTTGTAGCATTACTTTTAATGTTATATATTTTAAAAGGAACCATAATGAAGAAAAAAACGCTTTTTGTTTGCAATATAATATTTTGTAGCTGTCGGAGCTCATCATATAAAACATAGGATTAAGTCAATTTTATATTAAACAAATTTTTTTTGGTCCTTATTATTTTTTTCACCCATTGGTTCAAGCTGGAAGTTTTGCACCTGGGTTTTAATTAATTTCCTAAACTTATTGAATTAAAATAATATTTATCTTTTAAATAATACAGATCCAACAGATTTGGTCACAAATAGTGATTTCATCCGAACTAACCTATCACTAGAATTAATTTGTTGAGTAAATATTTAAATAATCAATTTTACTATTAATTTTCCATTTAATTTAATTTTGTTTTATTTTCATTTTTTCTATTTTAAGTTATCACAAATTACTGAAGTAATTGATTATTTGGTTAGCCTAAAATGGCTTAATGCATAAAATACGGTATATCCAAGCCTGCACCTTAGTTACGGTTAAAGTGGTGCAGAAAGTAGAATTGAATGATTCAACTATTTACCCAACAATTAAATATAGTAGATACATGCTAGTTATATTAACATTAAAAAAAATCTTAATTGTTATAAAAAGTCAAAGTAATATAGTTGCATCATTGAATTTTAACAATTTATTTTCTGCCCCACACAAATAGGTGAAACGCCGCATCATTGTCACATATGTTTGAAGAAGTATACTAGGAAGGAGCATTTAGTGAATCATATGCGATCTCACACGAACGATACACCGTTCCGATGTGAACTGTGTGGCAAGTCCTTCACCAGAAAGGAACATTACACCAATCACATTCTTTGGCATACTGGTTAGTATCGCTTTATATTGTATGTACACTCACTTTGTTAAGTCTTAAGATTGCCAGAAAAAGATAAATCGATTACATTTGGCACAAGACAAAACTAAACATAAATGTTGCATGTTTTGAAATAATTTTTTTCAATGTGTATAAGACATATCTTTCGCTGTATACAACTTTGGTGTCATGCTTGGTTATCCGCGTTAAGCTTATCTTAATTTATTTTATTTGTATTCAACTTCTAACATAATGTTCACATAAGAATCTTTTTTTATTCATATTTTATATGAGACTATACTCATGAATTAATTTTTAAGTCACTTTAGACATCTTGGAAAAAATAATGAAAAAATGTCCGAAATAATCAATTCAAGAGATTATGTGAACATATGGGATATCCAATATGTATGAAAATAGCTACGATTTTTTTTTGTTAACAATTGTATAATTGCAGGCGAGACACCGCATCGCTGCGACTTCTGTTCAAAAACGTTCACCCGCAAGGAGCACTTGTTGAACCACGTGCGGCAACACACGGGCGAGTCGCCGCATCGCTGCAGCTTCTGCGCCAAGTCCTTCACACGTCGCGAGCACCTCGTCAACCACGTGCGCCAGCACACCGGGGAGACGCCATTCCAGTGCGGCTACTGTCCTAAGGCCTTCACCAGGAAAGATCACTTAGGTAACTCATAAAATACAAACAGATTCAAATGTAGCTGACGTTTGAAACGTTGCCTTACAAACATTATATAAAAACGAATGTTTGGATGGATGGATGGATATTGGATAGCCTGGAAGAACACGTGTTACTAATTAAGTTTTTTTTAAATTCCGCGCGGACGGAGGCGTAGGCGACAGCTCATTTAATCTAAATCATTCCCCGATAAAACAGTCAGTAGGTATCATCATCGACCCAACGGGAAACTTCCCTTCATATCACCATATACTAAAAAAATCTGACAATTGACATTTGTATAATTTCCAGTGAACCATGTCCGTCAGCATACCGGGGAGTCTCCTCATAAGTGTTCCTACTGCACGAAGACGTTCACACGCAAGGAGCATCTGACCAACCACGTGCGTCAGCACACGGGCGAGTCGCCGCATCGCTGCACATACTGCGCCAAGTCCTTCACCAGGAAGGAGCATCTCGCCAACCACACCAGGTAACATCAACACATATTGCACATCTCCTGTATCCATGTCATCATTGTCTGTATAACCATATAAGTGATGATTCATTTTCTGGACCTTTTCCCATATATGAAGTCAGTTCGTTATTTTATCTGACGCTGGTGTAACTTTCAGATTTGTCATTACTCATTGTAATCTTTAATTCTTGATTTAATTACATCTAATCATTAACCATCGTCTTAATAAGTAGGTTAGTACTTCAAAATTATACATTTTTTAGTAAATTATATAATGACAAAATTAAATAAAATCCCAGTTTTTGACGTTATCCATTGGGTCCTGTAATAATTCTGTTTGAATTAACTACCTTGAAAAATGAATGACAATAATGACATTGATGTATCAGATGTGCTAAGTCGCTATTACAAGCTTGTATAGATTTGTAATTCAAAAGTTTAATACAACTTGTAAAAAGTATGAACACAAATACTTGTCGTTTTTCAAACTAAAGATAGCATTCAAGCTTTTTCTCATCATAGATTATGTAGACGAGAGATCGTCCCAAGTAAACCAATCAGTTTTTTTTTTAATTTTTTTCAAGTTGTATTGAAACTTATTGCTAAGTTTATTTGTTAGAATTGTAATGTAATTGATGTTGGTGTTATCATGTGTAGCCATCATATTCTGTGTTACATTAAGTGTTACAACTCGACAATGCTGTGCTACACGCTCTTAGGCCGAATGGACATACTCTCCCTACTATCTATATGTACTGGGCATGTTTACATAGTAGTTTGCATGTACTTTGCATGACTTATTATATAGAAATTCCCCGTTCCTGCCGATGAAGTTCATATAAAAAGTCGTGAGTCATTAACTTTATGTAAGTCTGGAACGGCATTGTGTGAAGTTTCCCCTGAATGCAACTGCGGTAGCACAGCATTGTGCATTCCGATTTGACCTCCGATGCGGAGTGACACCTTGCCGACCCATCCTGTCGCTTACACCAGATTAATATGCTAATAGATGAGCTTGCCAAATAAATTCTCTCAAGACAGCGAAAAATTCCAAGCTGCTATTTCAATTATTGATTTACATAAAATATTGAATTAAATATTGCTGTAATTTTTCCGATGTGTAAGCGATGACGATAATTTAAAAAATAATATAATATTAAATAACAATTAAATTATTCTTTTAAGAACATTTTATTGTTTATCTAATATTTTCGAATAAAAATCCCGTGAATTACACAATTTTACTTCAGTGACTGTTCAATTTGTTGCGCACCATTTTACTGATGTAAAATTAAGATAACGTCGTTGTAGTTACCACGAAACCGAGAACAACTTTTTAACATTATAAATGAAGTAAATTCATAAAAAAAATCAAATCGGAATGTACTCTGTTGCGCAGACAGCATACGGGCGAAACTCCTCACAAGTGCACGTACTGCACGCGGTCGTTCGCGCGCAAGGAGCACCTCACGAACCACGTGCGCCAGCACACGGGCGACATGCCGCACCCCTGCTCCTACTGCAACAAGCGGTTCACGCGCAAGGAGCACCTCGTCAACCACGTGCGGTGCGTATACACATACCTCCCTCCACTCCACCACACTGCTCACGGACACGAACACACAAATAGACACGAAGCACGTGCCGCGCGCAGCATATCCTCATGTAAGGCGCTACATATCCCTCCACACAGACACTAACAGACACAAGGAGCATGCGCCGCGATTGTCTTCGCTGACGGACGACCTACGTGTGGTGGCATTACACATCCCTTCACGCAGTCACGTTACAATTACTACGTAGGACTATCGTCAAACATTTCGGTGCGTATACATGTGCCTACACGAACATGTACACACAGTTTCTTATATTTTTATTTAACTCCTCATAGCATCAAACATTTGGGGTTCAATCGGCAATAACTAAAGCATCTAGATCGAGGTAAATTTTCTTATTCCCCATCAAACATTACATTCCGATTGAGTCCCATTTGCTGAGACACTATTTATTACTAAATAACTAAAGGCACTTAATCGGAATGTATTGACCGCAGATTGCATACGGGCGAGACTCCGTTCAAGTGCACGTATTGTACGAAGGAGTTCTCCCGCAAGGAGCACCTGACCAACCACGTTCACCAGCACACCGGGGAGACGCCACACAAGTGTCCTTTCTGCACCAAGACATACTCCCGCAAGGAACATTTGACCAACCACGTCAGGTGACTTACTTGCCTTACATAACTATATTTAATATTAGAAATGTAAATCCGACATATGCGACGAAAAGAGTTTCATTTCTTATCAAATTTCATTTAACTTTTTTCGTCGCATTAGTCTATCTGTCGTAGTTATAGAAATAATATTTACAGTATAGCTGTGTTGTCCGCGCCTTTTCTTGTTTCTTTTACCTGGTTATAAATTGTGCTATTTTACTGTATTACACTGCATGCGAAATTTCCTTTCAGTTTACTGGTAAAAGGCGTGAAGCTGAAAGTTAGGATTGCTTAAGCTAAGCCTTACTGTAGTATCTAGTGCTCTCATAAAAATAAATAAATTGTCACTAAAATATTTATTAGCTTTATCATGGATATCCAACTTCCATTACATCTATATACTTCATGTTTACCTCTGAATGTAAGAAATTCTTTTACTTTAAAGAAATTACATAATAATGTAAAAAAATATTGAATCCTTTTAATCTAACGTTTCGATATTAATTTAAATAGTTCTGTACATTATACAGACATACATGAAAAATATAATTATGAGTATTTATTAGAGAACTAAAGTGGAACGTGTTTGTGTCAGAATCCACACCGGGGAGTCGCCGCACCGGTGCGAGTACTGTGACAAGACATTCACGCGCAAGGAGCACCTCATCAACCACCTGAAGCAGCACACGGGCGACACACCTCACGCCTGCAAGGTCTGCTCCAAGCCATTCACCAGGAAGGAGCATCTTATGACGCATATGAGGTATCACATGACAACATTCTGTACATTTAACCGACATACAACGATATATGATTGTAATAAACCTCAACTTTATTTTTTTCCCAGAGCGCACAACTGTGGCGAGAGACCGTACTCATGTGGTGAATGTGGCAAATCCTTCCCCTTGAAAGGTAACCTGCTGTTCCACGAGCGATCGCATCAAAAAGGCGGCGGGAACAGACCATTCCGATGCGATATTTGCTCCAAGGATTTTATTTGCAAAGGTAAACAACTGATAATCTAAAAAACATTTTGGAGCTTTCACTTCAAGACTAAATATCGTCGAGCACACATGGTAGCGCTGCTAGATGCGCCCGTCAAGGTATTAAATGTAATGTGTATTGCAGGTCACTTGGTGTCGCACCAGCGCACGCACCAGCCGGCGGGCGAAGCGGCAGCCGGCGAGCAACCCGCCGCGCCTGAGCCTTGCGACAAGGACGCTGCTGACCGCCCCGAGCGCAAGCACGACATCAGGTACCTACACACGCATTCCAAACAAATAATCACATTTTAAAACCTCCATATACACCAAACATGGGCTATAAAGCAAAATTTTTAATTTTTATTGTCAGAAAGTGTAATTATCTTAATATCATATTAATATATTTTATCACCATTTTAGAACAACAACTAACGAAAACAGACCGACAGAAGAAGAGGTCGCTCAAAGTCAGCAAAATAATGCTGTTATGCAAATTACAAGCCAGGTTAGTATTGATATTTATATAGACTATAATGGTTAAAAATATCCGTTATACGGACGATATGTTTTAAAAAGCAAATGTAATATGTGATAGTTGTTGTATATTATTAATCTATATAATTGTCAGGTTCGCGGCGGAACTAGTAGCGCTAGCGGTGTGTCGACGTTCCCGCACACATCTAACGCGCAGCACCACGCCGGCGGGGTCGCGCACCATCCAGTCACCGTCAACTACTAGCGATCGCCCACGCATTCGCACAGCGTGCCGTCTGCACAGCTCATGTGCGCCTAGTACTTGCCCTATTCTGACGTAGTATGGTGCGTGAGAACCAGTACTACTCTTAAGTGCGCCTAGTATCTGCTGCATACTCAGCATGCAGCGGAACGTAACGCTCATGTGCTCCTAGTACTTGTTCTGATCAATGTGACATAGAACAATAAGTGAAATAATAACTCGTTTGAATCTAGTGCGCTCATTTACTGATATGTGAAAACTCGCGCTAAACGCCATCGTACGCAGTGATTTGTTGTGTTTTAATACTGAACTGTTTATCTCTTGTAAAGTCATGCACTTTTAGTACCTGCTGCCGTGCGACGCAAACCTTAACAAAAACCCTGAAACAACCACCTTCCTTGCAGAGTTTAACTGATGCCTATCGACGCGATTATTTTCATTATCGTCTCAGTATCAGAAGATACGAATTTGAAAATTATTTTTTTATCATTATGACGAAGCTTTTCTTCTAGTTACACTTTAACATATTGAGGATTCACTACTAAGTAAAAATGCCAGTTTTATCGTTATTAATGTTTTTTTTAAATATGTGACAATATGTAAAGTTTATGATGAGATGTCAACATATGATGATTAAAAGGTGAATGAAATGAAGAATTTTACATATAACGTACAAGGGGCGATAAAAATGTACAAAAGTACTAATATGGACATAAATTAAGAGGTTAAAAGGGATAAAAGATTTGTTGTACGAATAGTAAATATTGTGATTTTATAGTCTGCGTTTCTCGACGCATACATCAATTTTGTAATAACTGTTTTGAGTGTAAAACGAATGTATTATGTTGTAAAAAGTTCTTATTACTTTTTCTTTGTATTATGTAATTGTAGAAAGTGTAAAGAAGGAGAAAGAAATCATGTAAAATTGAGATGTGTTTGAAGAATTTGGGGAGATATATGTGTAACAAATTCATTTTTGTGTAGAAACTGTGTATGTAGGTACTTGTCAGAACTGTCCATCCCCTTTTTTGTAAGGTTGAGATAATAAAACGGCGCCATCTTTAACAAAGAAAATTACATTCCTACTGAAAAATATTTTTTCGTATTTTTTATATGGATATCAATTCGACGAAGATGATAGAAATTTAAAGGATTCTTTAAATGAGTATTTTTATTATTTTATAACTAAGTAAAAAAATATTTTAACTTATTTTAGCAAATGCATTTGAACTAAACCTAGTAACTAACATGTCTTAAACAAGGTTTACTAATAATGTTTGATAGTAGAATTGTTAATTTAACAACTGTGATGAATTTAAATAAAAAATAATAGCTTGGAGTTTACGACCGATGTTATTAAACATTAAGCCGATTTCACTAGTGGTAAATGAATCCTTTGTACACAATAATAAATACTTGTATCATATCAAAATGTAAAATTATTTTTTACTTTTTTTAAGCATTAATTCATAATCTAACATTACTTAGTGCAGGTAATCACAGAGCTTTTGTTTGTTTATTTTATGTGTCTCATTGAAATTGGGGACCATCACAAATGAAAATAAAGTTGCTAATCAAATTATAATTTTTAAGTATATTTAATTTTGTCATGTATCTTTTGTTAGTTATCTTTTGCCATTATTGCCCAGTCCAAGGTGAATAAGATTTAAATAAGTATTGTTTTATGGCAAATAACTGTTTTAAATTAGCTTTTACTCCTTTGTCTTTTAAGGACTTAGGACAATGAGTCGGACCTTTCTCACTAATCATTTGAACTGCTACTCTGATGACAACCAAACAGGGAACCAGATGTATTGGTTATGACCAAAGAGATTCAAATATAATACTAATTATAGAGTGGACATTACAAGCATTTTTCTTTAAATTATTTAATGCATAATCACACATTGGTCAGTAATCAAAGTAGTCAAACGAAACAAGCAGTAGTTATTATTTCAGCATACTGTTTGGTTTGTAATGTCCCCTCTATGATAAACACACTTCAACTAAAGCTTGCAATTACTAGCAAACATTGGTATATATTTGAAATATATCAACTTTTGATAGTAATGTCAAACTTTTTTTGTACATGTATTTATATGTTAAATGTCTTTGGTTGTGACATAAATATAAGTTGCATAGTTGTGGGATTGCGTATTTGCTTGAGTTAGGCAACCCGGTTAGCGGAGTGGTGTTGTAATCACTTCACAAGTAATTGTTACACGGCTTGTAAACATTATCATAGTATGTACCTAATCTGTATATAAATAGTTATAATTTAGTTATGTAAGGTAGGGAATTTAAGACTAATAGGCATATATCAATTATGTAAAACTTAAAATTTAATATGTTATTACTAAAAGAGAGGTATTAAACGATTTTGAATCGTCTGATATTTTTAAGTTTTTTTCTGAGTTTTGGTGGGAGTATTTTGTATCACAAGGCATATTTGGTAATGTCAACCTTAACGGTGCCACGCTAATTTATATTTTATAGAGAAATCTTAAAGCATAGATACAATAATGTAAAATAAAACCTTAACTTATGTTCAGTACTTTGATATGAATGAGATTAAAATGTGAAAACAAAATTGTTTTTGTTAATCCCCCTCCATTATGATCCCTAACCTAGCCTTATTGTTAACTAGCTGGCCCGCGACGCCGTCTGTGCGGAATTAAAAAAAAATATAATCAGTTCAGCCTATGAGTGCCTCTAGACTATGTTCTCTAGACATGTATGCCAAATTTCATCGAGATCAACCGTTTTGGCGATTCCTTCAAACAAACATCTATCCATCCATCCAAACATTTGCATTTATAATATGACTAAGATAGTTGAAAAAATGTTACTGAGACCAATATCTTTGTATAAGCCATATTGTCATCTCTAAGTATCTGATAAAAAAGAAATAATATGTTTAATAGAGATTTGATTTCAGAAGATTTGGAGATTTTGGTCTTTGAAACAAAGAATAGCAATATAAACAAGTCAATTGTAAAGTTTTGCAAAATATAATCTGTTTATTGATGCATTTGTACATTTTTATATACATTTATGTTTATATCATATATCTTAATCTACAAGTTTAACATTCAAGCTTCAACGGCCACCTTGTTTGTCTTATTCTTAGCTCTTTGTGGCCTTGCCGGAATATCATCAGCCTTGGCCTCTGGCAGTTTATCTTCAGGTACATCCGGCAATTGATCAGCAACATCGAGAATAGACTCAAGCTCAGCTTCAATAGCCTCATCATCTTCTGAAGTCAGTTGGCCAGAAATCATTTCATCAATCTCTCTCTGTTTCTCTATACCTTCCCGAGTTTCATCCATAATTTTCTCTATCTCATCTATGCTTAGAATATCATGAACCTTCTTTAATGCATCATTTCCAGTCTTAAGACCCTCTAGTACCTGCGGACATAGATACAATTGTAAAAATCTAAACAATAACTATAACAGAGGGTTTTCCACTGCTAAAACTAAAAATTATATATTTCATTACAATTTTACAACTGTGTACCGTGATAATGTTCCCAGAATAGGTAACAAACGAAATGTCAAGTAATCAATGGAAATGACAGGGTTAGGGAATGAAATTACAAAGATAAATTGCAAATAACATTAATATTGAATACAAAAAAAAATAATATACCTGTACTTCAATCTGTGTGAATTCGAGATCGTGGGTTAATTGCTCCAACTTTTCTAGCTGAGTATCAGTGTTCTGCAGCAACTGTTCTTGATACCTCTTTTTCTTCAATAGAAGTTTTGCTCTATCTCGTTTGTCTTCTGAAAGTAGTTTCTTAGCTAATTGCCGATCTCTTTCTAGGTTAAGTTCTATTTTCTTTTGATATTGTTTTAATTTATCTCTTTGTTGCTTCAACTGCAGAACTGCCTTATCTTGCTCCGTTACCCTGCTCGCAGGTTTTTTACTTTTACCAAATAGAGCACCCATTTTATCAAAATTATATCATGGAATGTGCATTAAAAACCGCGGTATTTTATTTTAATTTCTATGTTTAGTTAAATACCTATTTACATTACATTAGATTTATTTATGATTAGTTTAAATTAACAATTATTAAAGATAACATAAAAATGTAAAACTTTTGACATTTAAAAATGTCAGATGGGAGTCAAAGAGTAGTAAAACAGAAGATTCAGAGATAACATAGAGCACATATATTGCAGTAGAATTGTAAAATTGTTTTATTTTAATTTAAGATGAAGAACAATTTTATATAACAGTTATGAAAAAGTGAAGGAGATAAATAAAACAAACAAATATATTTTAAATTTTAATAAAATAATCCTTAATGGATGGCTCACACATTCTATTTATAGTCAATATTTATTACAACATTTCATAAGTGTAAGAAAAAGATAAATACCTGAATCACTCCTCAGTGGACTCTGGTATACAGAATTTAACCTCCCTAGGGATAGATGGTAGAGGTAGCTACAACTTACAAACATATTTTTAGGAGATAAAATAACAAGTTCATATCTAGCTTATAACATACATGCATTGACCAATTAAATTTTTCTATTATAACCTTCTTAATAATACCGCGACTATGCTATGTCACCTCGAAACCGTCGCTGGAGATTTTCTGGAAGTTTCTACCGCTACTTCTTCAGCTTCACAGGTGCATTAATTTCAAAAGTACCTCAGTGGTGGCGACCATCCAACTTTCTTCCTAATTCTTCTGCGGTTTGCCAACTGAAAAGTCCATCGAAAAACTAGAAACTAGCGTGGGTAAGTATTAATTTTGAATTCACATGCGACAATAATCATTTTAGTCATAATGAAAATTTAAATTGAAAAAATCACAATCATTGTCAGACATGTGCTCCAAAAATATTTGGGGTATTTATTTCACAACATAGCAACAAGTTGTACTTCTTATAAAATTATCAAAATATACACAAAACTTGTTGCTATATATTTTATGTGGGTACCTGCAAATATACAGATGATAGGAAAACAGCATCCGTTATTTAGACGAGGAGCGTATGAGACACGCCCCGTCACACGTCCCCTGACATGGCAACTATGGCAATGTACAGACAAAGCGGCTGACCAAATAACTTTGTACTCGATCACAATTCAACTATTGTATTCGTGCTAAGTGCAGAACTTGTTCAATTCTCCCTAACACCCTAGATCGAAACAAATCCTAACAAATACCTGACATCGCTTTATCCGGACTGTAGCTGGACAACTCGTTATTTGACGACGCCAAAGAGATTTGTAATAAGAATACCTCTAATTGACGCCGAGACGCGGGGCACATCCGAGTTCCGTCGGGAGCCCGCGCGCGCTCGCATTTCACACTAAATGCGAGCGAGCGCGAGATTTACCAACAAAATTTTCCAACGCTCAGCCCAAGCTGTTCAAAATACCAATTAAAATACCTGCCAAGTCCGTCGGCGTGACGTCAACTACAGAATACAGTAACGGGTTCAACATAACCCCTCATATCATTGCCATATGTACCGATGTTATATTTTGATATGATACTATCAGCTGTAAAATAACAGTGTTCACTTTATTACTTATTTATTCATATTGTTTTTAGGAGAAAGAGTTGTTTTGTTGTGTGTATGATTAGTCGTTAGGAAAAATGCTTTAGGTACCTCTGACTGAGCTGAAATTGTGGAGGAGAATGAGCGTCGCGCTACGGATGATGAAGTCATGTTTACGGTGTTTATAGAAGCGGGTGCGCAGGATAACATATACTTACCGGTTTCAGGCGCTTTTGTGATACCTCAGTCCATTAATGACGTTCGCGTTCGCGGGAGCGGCGACGCGACCGCTCGTGTGGCGAACCTTTCCACAAATGAACAAAATAAGTATTATTATTCAAAACATTAATTTATATTATTCATTGTGAAATGAACCTTATATGTAGTATGAACAGAGGTTAATATTACTCACGCCTGTCCTTGCGGTGTTTCCTCTCGCGGTCGCGTTCGCGCTCCCGCTCGCGGTCCTTGTCCCTGTCCCTCTCGCGCTCGCGCTCGCGATGCCTCTCGCCGTCCCGCTCTCGCTCCTCGTGTCTGCCGCCTTTTTCCTCACGAACTGGTCTAAAACACCATACAAATAATGCAATACAGAAATTCTGATTTCTCAATTAAATTGAAAACCATACAATAGTAGAGGCTTATGAATATTTATGACTTTATCTAAGTGCATTTAACTATTTTCAGCTCTATAACTGTCTGGTTCATAAAAAATTATTAAAAAAATGTTGATTACAAAAGTTTTAATACAAATAATCTATCTTCGGGTGCACTTGTATTTAATCATATTGTCATTCTATTTGAAAAAAAAATATAGAGACAATTTTTGTCACGTCAGTGGAATTTCACAATTTTATACACATTTTTTAACTTACCGGTGTCGTTCCTTTTCCCTCTCTTTATCGCGGTCCCCGCGGTCTCGTTCCCTGTCCTTGTCGGAGCGGTCTCGCTGCTCGCGGTCGCGCTCCATGCGCTCCCGGTCGCGGCGGTCTGAACCGAGGCCGCCGCCGCCACCGCCGCCACTGCGCGAGTAGCGGTCTCGTTCCCTGTCCTCGCGCCTCTTCTTCTCTTTCTCTTGCTGTTCTTTCTCCCGAGCCTCGCTCATCTCTTCATACGCTTGACGAAGCTTGAAATACCTTTGAATACGTACCGAAACAGATTTATAATAGCGTCATAAGAATTGTGTTGTACGGATTTTACAAGTATAAAGATATAAATTGAAGACAGTTTGCAGCGGAAATAAAGAACTGTATATAATTTTTTTTTAAATATTGCCAATCGATCAAAACATTTGTAAGACTACAATAGACACTTTTCTTTGTTGATATGAATTTATACAATAGTATCATACCCAACATGTTGTTTCCCGGAGAGATGGTCATCAATGCGTTGCTGAGCATCACCAACAATCAAGAAAGCACCGCACACAGGGCACACCTCCATCTGCTTCTCTTGTGCTGCTGCGAGCTCCGCAGTCATTGACCAATGACTAAAATACAATAAAAAAAGATCAAAATCAGTATTCGTAATAAGAAAAATAAAAATTCGTAAATGTGTATTCCATTGTAGCCATTATCAAGTGACATTTAATTTGATGGTTAAGAAAATTTTAATAAAGAGGAAAGATTTGAGAAAAATTTTAAAAATAAATCTCCATCTGGTTACTACTTTTTATTTATTGTATCCCAAAGCCTTTTGCTATATGTCACATAAGAAAAGGAATTAAGTTTTTATCCGCACCTGTTTTCTTGTTGTTTGAGAAGCTGGTCCTTTTCCTCTTTCAATCTGTCACACAACTTCATGAGGCCTTGCGCCTGTTCTACGTCGCCGCGCGTTCCCGCCTCCTCGGCCTCCTCCACCAATGATGTTATCTTCTCCGATAAAAGTGTCACCTAAATTATTTATTAATAACGGAAATAATAAATTGACTTTAAGATTTTTTTTTCAGACTCTATCAATGTAAAAATTCCAAAATCTTCATGTATGTATTCAATATGTTTTTAGACAGATATCTTGAGCAGTTGAAACAAACAATTATTATTTCATTTATATGGCTTTCATAACATGAAGCCATAAAAATTTAGTTATAGTAAAAATGAGTTATGTAAAAATATCATATAGTATTATAAAACCTATGCATTATTCTAGACTATGTTATATATCTATGCCGAATTTCAGAAAGATTCATACAGCGGTTCTCGTGACACTTTAAAATAAACATCCATCCATCCAAACATTCACATTTATATTATTGATGAAGTATCCCTACCTGCTCTTGATTTTTTTCAGTTTGAGCTTGTGTCATTGGAGGACCTTCAGGTTTTGAATTCATAAGCTCTAGTCTTTGCTTTCCCTTCTGAATTTTTCCTACAAACAGAAATGTTATTTTAAAAATATTAATCAATAATTAGCACATTGCAGAAACAATGTTTTTGTGAATATGTGTTATATTTTTGTGTTTTAAAAAAAATATAATAATATAATTTGTACACATGTTTCTGCAGTGGAAACCTGTGGTTAAATGGCTTAATACAAATCCAAACCAAGTTTTATATATTTTATATAACACTTTGAGAATAACCTAATATAAAACGGGCTAAACACTCACGCATATTCCTCCGGTGTCGCCACCAACTACTTTGAGAATATGTCTCATAGGAGCAACATGTAGCAAAACATTAACATTATACTTACTTTCTACTTCACTTATCATGTGTCTACAAAAGCGTAGAAATTCTTCAACATATTGGGACTTTTTGTATGATGTTTCTGCTTTCTGGAATAGTTCTTTGACCTCATCATCATGAACTTTTGGACAAGCGCCCAAGTCCGCTCGGGTATTTACAAACAAATCATGTGGGCAAAATTTCACCATGAAATATTTGCAATACTGTAAAAATAACAAGAAATTAATGTCTTTAAAGTAAGGTTAATTTTCTTGTCACACTCGGAATACGAAATATTCTCATGAAAATGTATGATAGAAATAGTAAAAGCGGTCTTACTTCAGGATCCTCCCAATTTGGTTTCTTTATTTTCTCATTGGGGTTTGTATTGCGGTGTCGTCCCATCAATTCATCCAATAACTGTGCAGCCGCTAACACCGCCATTGTTGATAACTTACACTTTGCTTTGATAAAGTTAATACATGAGAAATAAAAGGTGTAACAACTGTTTTACAGTATCAAATAATTAACTTTAGGAAGTTAACGAAAATAAACGTATTTTACCATGAAAATTATCACCATTTTAAGATTACTAATAGGGTTGTACCTAGGACTTGTCGTGCATATGCACAGCACAGCCAAGCAGTCCATGGCAAAATTTGTTTTTTTTTTATTTTCAATAAGATAAAAAAATTAAGGTTTTGAATCCACGAGAACCATACACTTTTATGAATAATTTAAAGTTACTTCATTAATGTAAGATCCTCTAATATTTCCCTAAATATGGCTAAAAAAGATTTTTAACTCCACCACATATTCTTTGCGTTTTCGTAATATGGTAAGACGATTGTTACAGCTGTCATTTGTCAGACTAAGAAGTAAACAATTGTAGTTTTTGTTAACAATTTCTAAATAAAATATCTATTTTTTTTCTACGAACGAAAATTTAAGTCTAAGTTGTCTAAAATCTTCCTATAAGATCAAGTCACATTGAATAAAATGAAAAGTGAATCTAATGACGATCAGTTATCTTCAAAACAAGACGCCAGAGCTAAACTTCGGGAATCATTTTTGAAGGCTGTTAACAGTTTACATGGTTAACACATCATTTTAATTTTCAAATTTCTTAGTTTGATGACAAGCAGATGGTTAAAAACTTCATAATACTATAATAACTAAGAGTAAAGTTTAAATTATTCTGTGAATTTTAAATTTTTCTATCTAAATACCATCATTTGAATTATTTAAAAGCCAAACGCGAAAGTCCTGTCCTGGTGTCTGCACCAGCTAAATCAAAAATAATAACAGAGTAAATACTCTGTAAAGGACACCTTGCTGAGTTCTGTGTAGTTGTGTGATAATCATTGTTTATATTGTCTTTTTTTTTATAGGTGAAAGCTGTTCAATCTTTACATATGAACAATCTAAGTTAACAGGGACCTTCTCAAGTTGGAAACCTGATGGCTCTGAAGTTTTAATTCATGATATGAAAACACCAGCTAATATTGTAATGACATCAGCATTGTTAAGAATCCCCGACATTTTAGCAATACAATTTGATAATCCTGTAGTATTAAAAATATGATAGTTTTTACATTGATATACTGTCAAACATTGGTACAAATATATTTTGGCTCTCTTTTTGTCAAAGAGAATGAGAAAGACAAATATATTGAGTGCAAGCAGAGTGCACTTTCAAGTGCCACCAACTTGTTTAGCAAATTTACTTTAATTTTATTGCAATACCAGGAAAGTGTAAATTGAGTTCATCAAAATCATAGTGGCACAGTACAGTCAGCTGCATAAATATAGAAACATTTAAAAAATTTTGGAAACTTACATATGCCTTTGGTTCAATAATATGTAAGCCTGTCTTCGCAAACTGAATGCATTTATAGTTGGAAGTTTTAGGATGGATGTATGCACTCATACTTTTAAAACAGAAGGCATAATCAAGTTTCTGAAGCTTCGTTTACATATGTATGCAGGTGACTATACATGTTAATAATAAAAGAATTTGTATGAAAAGGTAATATATATGCCGACATTTTGAAATGTTGATAAGTGTTTATTACTGTTACTACTGTTAGATTGTTGTGTGATTACTACTGTTAAAAATACATCAAATTTTTAAATTAAATGAAATAATTTATTGGCATAGTTTGATTTATTAAATCCTAATTAGCAATGTTCTTTCATCTGAATTTGCACATAGGCTAAATATTGTAATAAAAAACATAATAATTAGCCTATGTGTGCTTCCACACTATGTTGTACGTCTGTGCCAAATTTCATCAAGATCAGTTAAGTTGTTCTAGAGTTACCTTCTAAAACCATCCATCCATTTATACTATTAGTAATATTATAATATTAGTAAGAAAGATAAATTGAGACAGATCTTAATCATTTCTGTTGTGTCAGTATACAAACAAATATTTCAGGTTATATTCAACTTTTTACATTTCATAATTTTGATTCTAATTTAAAATTTTACCCTTAACTTTTGTTTATTGGTATAACCTAGTCTACCTATTACACGTACATTGTTATCTTGTTTTGTGATACGACTGATAAAGCTAGGTATATTCTTTATCATTCCATTTTTGTAATGTGTACTTCTGTAACTATGTTGTCAAAGCGGTATGAAAGGAATTGGTTTTTCCCCGTCCAACAAAATGGTCTAAGAAACAAAAAGGTGGGAGTTACCTCAAGAGTCTAAACCTAATTAAATTACAATATATATGTAAATTTATTTACGTGATTAGGTTTTTTATCAGTGCCAAAATGAATAATATCTAAAAACAATTGAATCCAAATCTTGTTTTTCGTTAATACATTCAGGATGGATTAGGACGATCGTGCCATGTCAACTTCAGATGAAATGCAGAAGTATAAAATAAATATTATATGAAATAGCCTCTACAGAAGCTATTTGTTATTTTTTCTGCTAATCCTGTTTTATTTTTACTTCTATAATCGTTTATGACTATTAGTAAGTATTTATAGAAGTTTTTTTTAATGAAGCTAAAAAATTGGTCACAAACAAATAAATGAGTTGCAGAGTTGCATTCTGTCCTTAATTGACATAGACAGAGTGGAACAAGAAAGTTTTTTTTTAAACATTAAAAGTATCCTGTGTTTCTGCCATCTATTCTGTTAGGTTATGGTTGAAAGTTTAACCTTTTATTGCAACAATAGATGTAACCAAACTGTTGCGTATATAAGTTTAGAATACTATATTTAGAAATATATATATATATAGAAATTTCTAACCTATTGGTTAGAAATTTCTATTAAATGTTGAAAGCAGGTTACTTCCTAATAGACAAAGGCTATGTGGATATGAACGTTAAGAAAACAAGTTAATAATTCGGTATTTTGTCTTGATACTTACGTAATACTTATTATTTATTGCAACAGAAATAAAATACTTCTATCTAAGAGATAAAAAAATTATCTTTAATAGACACTTTAGATTTTGTTTTACGGGAGCCCCCGCGAAACGCGAAACCAAATAAACTTAGCTACATAATCTATGGTAAATAGTTATGGTATCGAATCAAATTTAATTTGCATTTTTCTAATTCAGTAATAAAAATAAAAATATTTGTATCATGAAATATTAAAAATTTAATGTTAGATTCAGTTTGATAAGTCCATAAAACTAAAACACTCAAAAGGTCTCGCCAGATTATCAAAATTCTCATGCTAATTAAAATTATCGATTCAGCTGAATATAAGCGTTTTGTTATATAACTGAAAAAATTATTAAGTAATAAATAACGCAGTATAATTTTTTTCATATTTACAAAAACATAATAAATCTATTTTGCTTTATAATATTCACAGGCGTCAAATCGTCTTTGCAGGGGAATCCCGTTTAAATATGGCCGATGCTATATAAGTGATGTGAACGATATGAAACGACATCATTTCTAGGCGCAGTCTTGAAGTATAAACTTCTTTTAAAAGTTTATTTTAAAACCGTTACAATGAGTAATTATATTGCAATGGACTGTGAAATGGTTGGAAGTGGCAACCGAAGTTTATTAGCACGGGTGTCATTGGTTAATAATTTTGGCTCGCTCGTCTACGATAAGTACGTGAAACCAACGGAAACAGTAACGGATTACCGTACTTTTGTTAGTGGCATAAAACAACACCATTTGAATACAGGAGAAAATTTTAATACGGTTCAAAGGGAAGTGCAGAATTTGATTCGTGGCAAAATTTTAGTTGGCCATTCATTGCATTTCGATCTTGCAGCATTGGGTCTTACGCACCCAGAGAGAGACATAAGAGATATAGCTAAATACGAGCCATTTAAGAGGGTGAGTTTTTACATATTTAACGCATTTTTTGGTATTTTTATAAACATCCAAATCCAAAGTCTATGACACTATTTTTTTTTAACAATTGTATTTTCACGATGTGAGACTCGTTTCATCAGAAATAAATAATTTCTGTAGTGACATTATTTCTTTATATTTATTAGTTACCTAAAAAATTTGGAAAATTAATTTATTCGCAAAATATTACACTATAGAATTTTCCACTATTAAAGAGGTTTAAAATAAATAATTTTAACATATTTCTTTTCAGCTTAACAATGGAAATACTCCATCGCTTCAGCTCTTGGCTCAACATTATCTGAATCAAAGGATTCAGTCCGGGGAACATGACTCCGCTGAAGATGCTAAGGTCGCTATAAAAGTGTACCAAACAGGGGCTAGAAACTGGCCGTAATTGAAAAATAATAATTTACCTCTATGATTCAATATCTTTATTAATCTTCTGTAATAAATGACTGAATAATTAATTGTTTTTTATTGGTCTTAACGTAAACATGATCTTTTATAGATAGATATAGAAAAACTTAGAAGTAGCCTATGTGTTCTCCCAGGCTATATTCTATATCTATATTAAATTCCATCGAGATCCATGCAGCTTATCTGCAGATAACTTCTAACAAACAACCATCCATATAGCAAACATTCGCATTGATAATATTAGTAAGATAACCTAACTTCAATCCTTGAAGCAAATTGAAGTAAAAAATGCTACTATTATGGCCGTAGAACAAGTATAATAAAGAAAGTTGGAGTCTGGATTACTTTTCTAACATTCTTAGATAGTTTTTTTAACGGAGAATTGTTAAATAATATTGTGTATAACATTAAAATCTCTGGACACGATGTTACGTATGTTAAGGATAAATAACAATACTACGTATTCATTTATTTATCATATTTTTAATATAGTACATTTCACTCTATAATCTCTCTCCTAATTTCATAACAAATATTTTTTAATTATTAATCAGTTATAATATTAAAAAAAAAAACGCTTATATTCAGCTGATTCGATAATTTTAATTACCATGAGAATTTTTATAATCTGGCAAGACCTTTTGAGTGTTTTATGGACTTATCTAACTGTATGTAACATTAAAATCTTTAATATTTCATGATAAAAATATTTTTATTATTATTACTAAAGTAGAAAAATGTTAGTCTAAACGGAGTGATATAAATAGCGATTGTTTAATTTTCCAGCCCTGTGTTTAGTCTGGATATATTTTTGTGCTTACTTTGTGTTTCTACTGTATAGCTCTTGTATTGAAACAAATAGTCAAGTTAGAAAAAATGTTACGATATTATATTTCAACTGATACGGCTCTTTCAAATTCTCGGTACGAGATTAATTGTTCACTGTTTCTTTATCTGTAGCATTCATAACAGTTCTTATAATTACTAGTAGGCATATCAAGTTCGTTCATAATGACGCAGCCAAACTGATACATTGTTATAACATTCGCTTTGCAGAGTTGACAATTCGTTTCTTTGTCTTAATATTTACAATAGGTAATGTATTGGTAGGCAGAAAATCCGACACTATGCCAGTGTGTCAATAGCCTTATTAAAATGTCAACATTTATGTCCCCTCACTAATCAATCTAAAACATGACTTGGTAAAGAAAACGCGCCATTCGCGCTAAAGGATTCTAAATAATGATGTCTAAAAGTATTATGAATCATACTACAACATATTCACGCTAGTAACCTGGTGGGATAGGCAGAGAGATACTTTTGGCGTGGTCCTAGCTCACTTCTTTTACACTTATACACAATTTTTTTTACATAAGTCGCTGTCTGTGCTTTTATTAACGCCCTTTTTAGGTATTTATTAATTAGAACGGTGTAAGTCTATCACCCATTAATATTATTTTTTCTTTATAAAAGTATTGATTGCCCAGTGGTCGAAATAACCTTAAAATAAGTATATTTTAAGGTTATTTATTTCTATTTTAGCCACAATTATTTAATAAATTAATTAATACAAAATGCTTCATCCAATTTTTTACATGTAAATTAGATTATTATAAATAGAATAGCATTTAAGTTTTAAAAACCGATAAATATTTCGGGGTTAAATCCATAAATATTTATAGAGGAGTATTTTCGAGGATTATACATCACGACGGAGCAAAACTTATCGGGAATCATGCCATAATTTCCTGTTAGAAACGATGAAGACTTCGGAGATAGGAAAACAGAATTTCTAATATTGCAGCCACGTACTATCTATTTACAGCGCGCGCTAATTGACTTTTCTAATGAACAACTATGAAATTATATAAATTGTAATATGTAATTAACTGAAATCTGTATAAAATACGAAAGAAAATGCAAATGGCAAAATTATATCTTTCAAGTGAGTGGCAGTTTGATGAAAAAGGTCTGTAACCAAAAAAATATTTAAAAAAATGTATAGGGCGGTGCGAGAGAAAATGTTTTCTAATTAAAAAAAAAACGTGCCAGTATCACGAGGCGGGTAAAGCACATGCAAGCAAGTAATGTGTAACTCATTTACATTAAATTATAAAGATTTTACGAATAATATCACTGGTAACTAAGAATACAAATATTGTAAGTTTACAAAAAAAGTTTAAATTATGTAGGTATATATATCGAGCACGTTTAATCACGAAATATATTACAATGTGACAGTCTAGAGGTTTGCGGTTAGTCGCGGGGACCTTGGTTACGCAAAATGAGTGGTTTTCTTGTTAATCCTAGTTCAGTGGGTAATTTTTAGGGCTAATATCGTTAGGTTAGGTTCTGGCAGGTTTCTATTGCGGTAAAACTGGTATCAAAAACAATGTCTTTAATCTCATTCTACTTGAAATGTCAAAATTATAAAAGGATGTTTTCTCGAGTTTTGGCAATGGAAATTTATAGTTAGGTAAATGGTTAGTAGGCTATAGAAATAAATAAAGTACATTATTATTCTAGCAATATTATTTTTAAACAATAATAACATTTGAATGTTTCAGTAAATATTTAAGTGAAGCTCAATGGAATTATTTTTCCATAGTGTCAATCGAAAAAATCCTTCATGGCGGATCGCCTAACAACCAGATATTTACCATTTTTCTATTACGTACTAATTATTTTAACATCAATATGTTTCTTATTTGAATTTACATTTCCAACAGGCGTACAAGTCTTTGAATGTAAACGAGATACCTTATTCAAGAACATCTTGCCCACGACCCTTGATTAGATTAAAACACTTCAGTCAAATTTCATCCTTATAAGCTTTAGACAAAGTTCAATTTTCAAAGTTCTTAGTGTTTTTTCACATCAGTTTTATGCGGTTAGTCGGTTGGCTCAAATCTACCCACTATCGTTAATGTAACATTACTTAATTCCCTTACCTCGGCATTGCTGGTCCTAATGTCCAGGGACTTATTCTCTACAGATTACATTTCTCATTTATCACTCTAGTAATATTAACCTAATTTCAAACGTTGTTAGTTAATTATATAAACATCGAAACACATCATATATCTAAATAATTAATATTAGTGTCTATTTGATGTAGGCGTTGCTGAGAATAATCGATTTTTAAGTTTTTTTTTAAACAGAAGAGGGCAAACGAGCAGCCGGAACACCAAGGTGTTCATCGACGCCCATAGACATACCAGAGGAACCGCAGATGCGTTGCCGACCTTTGAGATGGTGATACGCTCGCTTTTAAAGGACCCTAAGTCGTAGCGGTAGCGGTTTTACCGATCACATAATATCTGCGGGGTTAGACAAAATGCATTCGATCTGAAACGATTCCATAACGAACTTCAAAATTTTATAGAATTGACAATAACCTAGTTACATATATTTTTGAAATTCGTTGTGGAGTCGCTTCGTCTATTTGTCTGTCTGTCCGTAAATTCGCTGTTATTCCCGATAGTCTAGCTGTTCCGAAATAGCCCACATCCGAAAAAAAGAGATTAACATTTATATGAATAATATAGAATAGAAATCCGTAATCATGGAAAAGATAGAATCCAAGGGATTGTATGATTCTCTTTGTATGTTTGTATTGTTACAATTTAGAAAGAAATTGTTTCCAAAACGTACAGTCTGGGTAACTTTGTACCAGGCAGTTAGGAGCAGCAGTGACAAATGATTTATAGTCAACCAACTGTGGATACAGTCTGAGTGAAATGAGGCTTTTACTTTTCCTTGTAATTTGATGTGACGGAAACTTTATAATATATTAGCTGTCGCCCGCGACTCCGTCCGCGCGGGATTAAAAATAGATGTTGGCCGATTCTCAGACCTACTCAAAATTACAAAATTATGCTCACAAAATTTCATGAGAATGGGTCAAGCCGTTTCGGTGGAGTATGGGAACGAAAATTGTGACACGAGAATTTTATATATAAGATTTGGCATATTTATTTATTGTCTAAATATTTGGAGGGAATCCTAAATAATATATGGAAATATACACGTAATTTTTTTTGTGTAATTAATTTTTAAGGGCTACGATTAGTGGTCTATAGTGTCTGCTTACCCCTTTGGGTTTCGGGCGTGTATTTGTTGTTTTATGTTACAATATTAACTTAGGTATATGTATTTCAAATTGCTTCACTTAAAAAAATACCTAAATTACAAATGTTATGTTCTTAAGTTACCTTTCGAGTACTCTTAAAATATAAAAGAAATTGGACAAATTATATTAAAAGATCTTATTCTGAATATGTTGGGCGTGCCTAATGTAATTTAATATTTACCTTCATTTCAATGCCGACCCGACCGTACCGTGCCGTCCATCTATGTAAAATCCATTAACTATATCGGTAGGGTACGGATAAGAATTTTGTTACAATTTACGTAATTTGCGTTCATATTTACAAGTGGAAATAAGATTTTTTGTTATAACCATACGAAACAAGTACAAAATCGTCTTCGGCTGAATATACGTCCACACTGAGGTTCTTAGGTTCGACACCTACCCTAAGTAAGGGGTGACTAGGCCATAGTCAACTATGCTGGCCCAGTGCTGATAGTGCAGGAGATATGTGAAGGTTGGCATTACGATGTTTTCCTTCACCGTACGAAACATTAATACTATATATAAGTTAATTTAAATTATTATTCCAAACTTATTTTAATATTTGTTATACAAACTGTAGTCGCCCGTCCAGTTTAATATTAATTATTAAAATATTTCATAAATAAAGCTGTCCAGGCAATTGTTGTGGTTATCGTTTTTGACAGTTAACTGAAAGAGCTTAATGTAGTTTAATTTAATATAAGAGTTATATTTCGAAGTAAAGCTTTTAAAAACGAGATAAATTTTGCAATAAAATTGCATTTCGTGACTTCGACTTCACTATCACCGTTTAAAATATATTGTTACCTCTGTTTTGTCCATGATAATGAAAGGGATGACGATATTTTTATACAGGGATTTTGTTCTCAGAAACCGACGATACGTTTATCACAAGAATTCAATAGAGCTTCGAGT